ACAAAAAAATGTAAAAAAATATAAAAAGTTAAAAAAATATAAAAAGAATATATAAAAAAAAAGAAAAAAAATTTATTACAGTATATTTATTAATCCTTATTAAAATATAAAAAATTTAAAATAAAAATTAATTTTTTTGATAATAAACAATATTTATAACTAAGAATATTTCTATAAGATAAAAAACATCTTTTTATATTAACATAAATACTAGAAGTTAAATATATATTAATACTATTTTAAACAAATTTGGAAGATAATTTTTTTTATTATTCCAATATTTATCTAAAACTAATCTAGTAATTTTTCAAAATCTTTATTTAATTTATAATAAATTTCCTATTCAAACAAAATAATGTTATTGGGATTTTTAAATTCTTTGATTTTATCATATCTTTGAATATTATATCTTACTTGACTAACTTGTATAAATTGAGAATTAAAATATTGAATAGCTTTAAATAATGGTAATGCAAAATGATAATCAATATGTTTTTTAAACTTATCTAATACTGATTGAAAAGTTCTGTGAAATATTTCTTGAAATATTGATAAATCCATATTTAAAGAATTAAATTTAATATTTAGTTCACTACTAATTGAAGGTTAAATTGTATTCAATTTGTAAATAAAATTCAAGTAAATGTAATATTGTAAACACAAAATATATTATAGGTTTTATAAATTTTAAAAAATTTTAAACTATTATAAAGACTACAATAATAAAAAAATAATTATTAATTAATTTTTTTTTTTAACCTACAATCATATCGAACCGATTTGTCTTTATTAAAATACTTAAGAAAATATCAAAATAATTTGCAGATCTTTTTATATAAGGATTAACTCATTTTTTTTTTTTTTTTGAACATATTTTAAAGTTATAAAAGATATATTTCAGTATATATAATAAATTACTATATGTATATTTTTTATTGATTAATATATATACAATATATATGGCCACCCTACTTAAGAATCAAAAATTAAAAATTTTATTTTCTGATCAGGTTTACTGACTAATTTATAAAAGTCATATTCAATTATCCAGATCAAGATTAAATCAGGTTATATTATATAAAAATATGACTTTTGACCTTTTGTTAATCAGGATTGAGATTTATAGTTATATTAATGAAAGAATTGCATAAAAAAAAGTTTCTAATTTAATTCTTTATAAATATTCTATAACTTTAATTATACCAGTAAACTCTGAAAATCTATTTTCAAAACTATGATAATTATCAGAACTTTTTATACTCAAAACTATATCTGCAGATTTCAAGACTTGACCATCTTAACTTGGGATATTTCAATCTGATGTTTACTTAAATAAAGAATTTATAAAATAGGATTAGTTTATAATACTATGGGTGATAATAAAGAAAATAGAAATTCTTTTTAAGGTCCCAGTAAAAAGTATTAAGATATTTAGGTAATTAATTAATCCTTGAAAATTTAATATATAGAAATCAAGTTAATTAATAATAATAGAAAATCAATAAGCTCAATACTAACTAACTGGAACTACTATCATTTATAACTAAGTATTTAACTATTTGGCTTCTAACTGAATCTATCCACTCTTGAAATATAATAGATTATTATTAATCTGTACTTATATAAATATATATAGCTTGTATGAGATAATTGATATAATTTACTATAACACTAATATTAATAAAACCTTGCATTTAATACCTAATTGTGATTAAAAAAAAAAACAAGAAAAAAAAGCTAGTCTTACTTTAAATAATAGAAGAAATTTTAGAACAACTGAATAATATCATTGAAATAGAACATATCCTTAGAATGATATATAGTACAAAAAAAAAAAAAAGTTTATATATCAAAAAACAAATAAAAAAAATCTTGAATATTCGATACAAGAATACGAAAATCAATCAAAAGTGAATGCTAAGTTCAATTCTAAATGGATCAATTCAATATAATATTTTTTATTAACAAAAAAAATCAAGATAGAGAAACCTGAAGCTATCTTAAAACATCTAACAATAAAACAGCTAGTTTCTCATATATAAGCTATGAAATAATCAAATACTGTATTTGAATCTTAAAGAAAGAAAAATCTTATATTTTCTTTTCAATAAGGTTCTAGACTTTAGGATAGATTTTCAAAAGATGGAAAAATAGCATCTATCCCATTTCTAAATCCAAATTTTGAAAATACGAACTTAGAAATACAAGACCCATTGTCCTAAAAAATTTATTAATATCACTTAGTTTGCGTAACAGATCTGCATTTCTTAATCTAATTGAATATTCCGTTATATCAACCTAATGTTGCAATGTCACGAAGCAAGACGATAACGCTCGAAGATTGGGAATCAAAAACTCAACTCACAGAAACGCAGAAGCAGAGCGCGGTAGAACTTCAAGATGCCTGTGCCGAATTACCATTGCCCGACGGCGTACGTATAAAATCGAATGATTTTTTGTCTTTACGTAATGGCATAATATATCCTTTTTGAAATTATTCAGTTTCTCGGCGATTTTGGTTCGGGAACACCTCAACGTACATCTTCGCCCACCGCGATGTCTATGAAAGACGGTCTGAGATCATCTCCCCACCTTCGCTCAAGCCCCTCACCATTACCCCTTCCTCGTTCACGTTCCACAGCTAATCTCTTACTTGCTGAATTCCAGGCGTCTGATGCTGCGACGAGCGCATCGGACGCGACTCTCGGGATACCACAGCCAATTGAAACTACACAACAGTTTTTCGATTGGTTTTCTAAGATGGAAAATGACATGGAAAAAGATCAAGAAGATGTCTACAGGTAAATACTGCTTTTAAATTACTAAATTTTATTTCACCTTCGTTTTCTCTAAATATTGATCATAATGATTTCTTTGTAGAAATTTTCTCGGAGTTGTTACTTTATATAGACAATCGTGTGACGCATTTTTAGAACAAATAGACAATACTGTTAGATTATTTAGCGACCTAGATGGTAATTTCAAGTTTGTCGAGGAAAGAACAAAAGCCTTACAAACGGCATGCGAGAAATTATTAGACGAACAAGTAAGTGAATAGTATTGATCATTACTTAATCGATCACTGAAAAAGTATCCGATGGTGGATTTTCTCATATCCTTATTATATGATATTTATAGAATAATCTGACAACATTGGCCGATGCAATGTCTTCTAAATTGGCATATTATAATGAACTTGAACCTATCACGAAGTCATTCAATTCCCCAGGAGATGACATTTGTGAACAAGAAGACTTTATTCCGATGTTAGCAAAGTTGGATGAGTGTTTGGAATACATGCAGAGTAATGTAGGTTTTTTCGTTAGAAGTCTTAGGAGAGATTTCTTATGTCTAATGTACGGAACATTCTTTATCGATTATTACAAAATAGCTCAGATACAGGGATTCGGAACTTTATCTAATAAGATTCAGAAATTGCATGACTAAGGGAATGACGTTAATAAAAATGTATTTCGTTAGTACCATCAAGGGTCTTGGTTTGGATATTAGTAAAAGAACTTCTCAGGTATGATACGAAATCGTTATGTGAAATCTTATAATTGTAATTATCATTTTATATATCTCTAATTTATTCGTTAAACAGCTGTTCGATCCCACAGCACAAACAGCTTTATTTTATACAAAGTTTCGCACGATGGCACCAAGATTGCATAGACTAGTATATGAAATAGAGAAACGGTGCCCCATGCATCCAGAGTATGTTGTTTGATGAACTCAATTACGTCTTGCGTATTTTTTTTTTTCTTCTATATTAACATGATTTCAGATATAACTCTTTGTTAAATGATTGCTATAATGCGTACTTTTCCGTACGCCAACAGATGCTCATCCCCGTAATATATTCCAAAATCCTGGAGTTAGGATCTAGCGGTCAGGATATATTGTCATTTGTGAGTACGTTATTATTCTCTTAACTCAATGATAAAATCATAGATTACTGATGTATTGAACCTGACAGACCCGAAGCGGATATGATTATATGTTGAACCTTTGTTCAGACGAATACTCTTTATTCTACGAGTTCTTTTCAACTGGGGAGGACGATTTATAGTATGTCGAATTATTAATGACATTCGGGATTGTGTGTAACTTAACTTCATATTGAAGAATCTATTTTACATACGATACAGTGGAAACTTGGATCTGTTGTGCAGTTACATGTACGACCATTTGCGTCCTCGCATAATTCACGAAACAAAAATTGAGACTTTGTCCGAACTTTGCGCAATACTTATGACTCATATTAGCCGAGATGCCGACAAATTTGATGGTTCAAAATATTTTATCAATTTTCATTTGGAATTGCTTACGTAATTCTTAACTAATTTTTTTTGCGTAAACAAATTTTTATTGCAGAAAAGGAAGGGCAAGGATTACAGTTTAGTCAATTAATACGTAATGTCCTTCAAGATGCACAACAAAGACTAGTTTTTCGCGTGCAAACATATATTCATAGTGAAATTCAAAATTTTATTCCGCAGCAATTGGATTTGGACTATCCTAACAAATTAAAAAGTTAGTATTAAAAACCATATACTTTGTTTTTCAATTTAATTTGTATAGAATTTCCGAAACATTTGCTATTTGTTGTGAAGATTCTGGAACAAATGTTCAAATTTCATCAGTTGAGTCTACCGAGACCAAAGAATTACACCCGTCACCGTTACCAGAATCTACCGTTCAAAAAGATAATGGTGATTCAGAATCCATGGTATCTAACTCTTCGGTATCATTAACATTTACTGAGGATACTGGTGATGCGAATCCTGAATGGTTGCCCACACTGCATCGTACTTTATGGGTCCTTTCAAAACTTTACCGGTGTGTTAATGTGCGTTGCTTCGGAATCTTTTTTATTTTCCTTTTCCTCTAATCTCTAATTATCATTTGTAATTCTAAGCATTTATATTCTTTTTATTTTAGCCTCCGATATTTGATGATATCGCCCAGGATGCGGTTCAGTTATGTTTGCAATCATTATTATCCGCGAGTGAAGCCATTACCAGAGAGGTACTGATAATTTCTCAATTTCCTTGACATTATAAGACTAACTTGACAATTGGACTGCTTATTTAATTAGAGTAAAATCGATGGCCAATTGTTCTTGATTAAGCATTTGTTAATCCTCAAGGAACAAATAGCTTCGTTTGACACACAATTTATACACGAAGAGAAAGACTTGGACTTTTCATCAATGACTGGTAATGTTTCTTGATTTCGACAATTGACTACTGTGATTTTCTTATTTTTAAATATTTATGTATAGACGCCATAAGCGAGATGTTGCATAACAAATACACAATTTTCAGTCCTACTAAATTGCTCGGCTTGGCAACTAAGGGCATTCCAAAAGTTGTTGAGAATAGAATAGATGCAAAGCAGGTTAATATATATCGAACTCAATATTTGTCCTTTGCTCTGGATCCTAAGCGGTTTTATTTCATAACTTTTTATTTTTGGAAATATGCATAAGGAAGTGGACAAAGAACTCAAGCACATATGTGAAGAGTTCATCTTAGACAATTCAAAGGCAGCAATTGAACCATTATCTTCGTTTTTGTTGAAGGTAACACTTTATAAAAAATATAATAAGAAAATAATAATAATAACAATAATAATAATAATAATAATAATAATAAATTTATGAGTATTTATGTGAATTTTTTTTGTTGCACCATTCTTATATCATTAGGTATCTACCTTCAGATTAAGGAATGACCTCAGAGAGGTTCATCGTCAAACTTCGTTGAAAAACCAAAATTTTGCACAACCAGGTATTTCATGTTTGAAGCGCATTCTCATTTAAGATATAATTTTTATTGATGTTTATCTCAAAATGATCCCAGATAAAATTATTGAAGTTTACGAAACTTTTCAAGAAACTGTAAAAAATCGACTTCGCTATATAATCCCGAAGATGTCGGAATATCTTGGCGACCGTGAGACCGAGAGTATCTTGCTAAAACCAATGCAGGTAATAACAATGGAATATGAATACGCTCTTTCTAATATTCTAACTCTTAACTCCATCCATTTACGTAGAAACATATTATAGACACGTATCAGGCATTTTATGATATAATGCAAAATGAAAACTTTGAATTCGGCAATTTTCAGAAATCTTTGGGCGATATCGATAAAGTGAAAGAATGGGTACAGTGCGATTTGTTCTGGGAAGAGCAAAATGGAGATAATCATACAGACTGATTTCTTGTAATTTAATTATTAATATTAAAAAACTTGGCTTAATTAATTTATATACATGAGTAAGTTTTAAGGTTGATCAGAATTTGATCTTAATCTACAAAAATAAATTATATTGACTCCAATATTATAAGAAGTTAAAAGAGGTGGTTTCATTTTAATTAGTAAGATTTGGAGAAATAGCTTTTAATCATTCATTTTTATATATACAATATAAGTATTTCTTGGTGAATATCTTTCATTATTCAAAAGATCAAATTTCTCAATACTTTTTTTGCCTTGTAATGATATAGGAGCTTTTAACCTAGAGTAGTGATGAGGATTTCTATTGATTATGATATCTTTCAACGACTTTTAAAAAAATGCATTATTAATTATGATTAAAATGTTAAAGCTTAATATAAATCAAAGACTATTTGATTTTATTGCTTTATTGAAAAAAGAAAAAAATTTTGATCTTGAAATAATAAGAGAGAAAGATCTCAACTTAATTAAATAATAGCTTTTTTATTACCTGAGAATTTGTTAAATATTATTGATTTTATAGAATTTAAGATATAGATTAATACAATTGAAAAAAGAAAACAAAAATAAAATATTAATTAACTATTTTTTTTATTAATGATGTTATCAAAATATATAGTATATTATAATTAGTAAAAGTTTTTTATTTTTTATATTCTGCGATTAATATGTTTTGTATTAATCATTAATTTTTAATAAAAACCATATTAATTTATGTTATGAAATTTAGAATCAAATTAAAACAAATAAAATTTTTTAGAAAGTTTAAAAAATAAATAATTATAAAAAAATAAAAACTATAAATAAAAAAGTTTTTAAGGTTTAGATTTTTGTTCATCTATTTTTATAGCACAAGATTTTTATATATACTTTTGTTCTAGAAAATAATTTTTAATACTAAATTATTAATTTTTTTTTTGTTAAAATTTTTTTGCACTAGATAAAAAAAAGGATTTGTTATTTTTTTTAGTTATTTGAAGGTAAATTTTTGTTTAAAAAATATATATATATAAAGAAAAAAATAATAATAAAATTTTATTAATATAAAAGTTTAAAACTTTTTGTAAATATATATTATTAAATAATTATATACAATGGAAAATTGTAATATTGAAATAATATTTATAATTTTGTATAAATAATTTTTTATTAATTTTTGTAATACTTATAAAGAATAATTATTATTTTCATAATTTTAAAATATTTTTCATTGTTATAATTTTTATTAATATCAATTGTATTAAAAATAATAATAATTTATTTGGAAGATGTCAGACAATTTTATCAAGTTAATGATTAACAAATAAATAGTGAAAAATTCATCCTCTTAACCTTTAACTGAAATAGTACAAACCTAAGCACAGTTTATATAAGGATAAACAAAATAATAGTCAAGGAACTAGATAAATATGATCAAGCAAGATTCCTGAATATCTGGTTAGAAAGAAAATATAACAATTGAAATACTATGAATTTACTCAAGACAGAGATCAGAACAGTAATCCAAGCAATTAGTAATAAAAGTTTAACTGAAAAACATGTCAAGTATATTATCAATAGAGTTTAATTTCTCATATAAAATATAGAATGCAGTACATCCACTTGAATAAGAAAGTTTACAATGATCTAATAGCTATATATAGAAAAGCTTTCAAAAACAAAGCACTAATTTGTAAAATGATATTAAATATTGTATATATAACAAACAAATCTATGAACTCAAAAGTATATGAAAAATTTAACTCAAAAGTTATATAATAATACTGTTCTGTCAACTAAATAATAGTGAAGCTTTAGAAATTGCAACAGTTATCCAACTTAAACAAAGTCAACTCAAATACTAAAAGCTCAAAAATATACTTAATGATCTAGTAGAAGTTAAGACAATTAAGAAAGATAACCTTGCTGCTACAACTCTGACTATGACAAAAAAACTACAAATTATATATAACTGCTGAAGATAAAAAAAGATCTTTAATATTCAAGGAGATATCATGTTTATCAAAACAATTATAAATAATAAGAAAAAATACATGAAAGCTATCCCTTCTCTAAAAAAAAATGAAATAATGTTTTTAAATCAGATAATTAATATAATTATACTAATAATAAGAGAATAGAGAGCAGTTTAAATTTTTACTAGTACTTGTAAAGGTCCCATTCCAAGCTGATATACAGTATACAAATTAGAGCAAAGGTGATAGAATAACAAGACTTGCTAAAACAGTTTTACCAAACTCTAAAATGGATTGAATATAAACTTCAAATGATAAAAGTGACCTCTAAAACTGACAAACGGAAAATCAATTGAGGAGTTTTGACTAAAGCAACAGGAACTATTATAGAAAAAGTCAAAATGCAAAACAGAGAAGTACTTTTCACACCATATCAACTTACCTATAATTTTATCATAAATAGTACTACTTATTATCCTCATATATTCAAACAATCAATAATTTCATATATATTCCAAACCTAGTTACTATTATAACTAAATAGATAAGAAATATTAGGAAAAAGAATCTATTCACACTTTCAAAAAATCTCACAGATTGGTAGTCCACAGTATTAACAAATGGATCAAGTACTATATATTCATTGGAACTAGAAGAGATTGAGATACAAATAGAGAATTTAGAAGTTGAACTGATTAAACAGACCATACAATCAGAAAAGTATATGACAGATCTAATAAAGAGTCTTAGATATAACTATAAAAGCAATACAAAGCAATTCATTTTCTTTACTGATGGATTTTACAAACAATGTACAAAAGTGAGGATAAACTTGAAATGTGTCTTGCATAAATTCAAATTGAGAACAATATAATAACCAATCAATTCTCAGCAGGAACAATGTTATGGCTATCAGCTATAAAAGCAGAAATCCTAGTCATATTTGCTACAATCTTTACAATATTTAAAAATAGAAAAGCAACCATATGTATAGATTGTAGTGCAGCTATCAAGATATAGAAAACATTCTAGTCACAAAAGTTTATTTCTATAAAAAAATAGACTAAAATTATTAACTGACCACTATAGAACTGAAACAAAGACCTAGTATAAAAGAAAAATCTTTATCATATACTTGAAAAGTTTAAACCTATCAAAACAATAAGTTCAACAATATAGCAAATAGGCTAGTAAAGCAGACCAGAAGAGAAAACCCTTCGATTTGACAACAAACACCTGATTTGAATCAAGTTTTTATAATAGTAGCCTAGAAGAAACATATTATTGATATTAATATTAGAGATTTTCTTAAAAAATAAAACATAAAGAAAATAGAACTAGCCTGGACTGAACAACAATATATTTAAGATTGATGGATACATCCTAGTAAAGAAATTGACTAACAAATTTTCTGAAGACAATTCAATTCATACAATATCTTTTATACCTTCTTTAGTATCAACAAGGACAAAAGTTTTCTGATAAATCCAACCTATAATGAGCTTTCTATTCTTCAAGTAATATAGAAAAAAAAATCAGACTTATATTCAAATATAACATGCTCAATGTGCAAATTACAAAAAGAAATCCTGAAACATACCTTTGAATGTTCTAAGATCTAAAGTAAAAGATCAATTATATGGGACAAATCTCAAAGTAAAAATTTTTAGCATATCAAGAAAACATAAAATCTATCTGATAAAAGTCAAGCAAAAATTAAAAAAGTAATAGGGAAATAGATTTAGAATATTAAACAATAGAATGAAAGCTTATATAATACAATCTGTAGATTTATATATTGAGACAAGACCAAGATTCTAGAAAAGTATAATACAAGAGGTTATTAGTAAATTTTGTAAAAAAATAAATAAGACCTTTAAGAAGGAAGTCTAAAACAAGTATTATAGTATTACTATCAAATGGGAACAAAATCAAAAAATTATCAGTAAACTCAAAAGGCTTAGAGTACTAGCTAATATAACTAAAAAAATGGTTAAGTCCCTAAAAAAGCCAACCACTCTTCTATTTTTCTCTCTAAGAATATATTAGAAGAAGAAAAAGACTAAAAATGAATAAAGTCCTAAGACAATATAGTAGATATAATAAATAGTTGGATATCCAAAGATTTTAAATGGTTTGGTTTTTAATCATAGTTAATTTTGGGTGATCTATAGTGATGAGCTATAGACAATAACCTGAGTAGCTAAAGGATAATCCAAGTTACAAAGGAAGTGAAATATCATTTCCTAAGTTGTCTTTAGAGAAGGTTAAACTTTGTAGATAGATGAGTCAATATATGAAAATCATAAAATAAGTAAATATCAAATAGATTTACAATAAAATGGACAAGTTATATTGACTTGACTGTGGATTAATAATAATAATAATAATTTATTAAATAATACTGTATTTGATACTTAATCTTTAATTTAATAATAATAACAATTAGCTTAAAAAATATTATTATTATTTTTTTTTTTAATCCACAGTTAGGCCAATATGGCTTGTCTATTTATTGTAAGCATATTTGATATTTATATATTTTATGACTTTAATATATTGACTCACCTGTTTACAAAGTTTAACCTTCTCTAGATGCAACTTAGGGAATAATATTTTGCTCCCTTTATGGCTTGGATTATCTTCTAGCCACTTAGATCATTGACTACAACTCATTACTGTAAAGCTTAAAAAATATTATTTCTTGTATTATTTAAAATACTAATATTGAAATTTATTTAAAAAATAAAAAATTATATTTAAAAGTTAAATAAATTTTTAATTATAGAAGAACTTTGAAAAATCTATAGTAATAAACTGTAGACAATAATCTAAATAGCTAAAAAATAATTTAAGTCATAAAAAAAAATAAAATATTATTTTTCAAGTTAATTTAAAAAAAATAATACTTTATAAACAAGTAAGTTAATATATACAGTATATATTTTAATTGTTAGCTTAGTTATATTTATTCATAATAATAGAATAATATACAAAATATATTGAAATTACTGAAACATTAAA